ACAAACTCCCCTGTGCAGAGTTTGCTGAATTCATTGCTTGGCTTTATAAATACTCACTCAACAAAGTAAGTGCATTTCCTTGATGCTTTGCAGATGAAGGGTTCAATCTCAGCCCTGAATAGCTCTGTCACTGCTGGTACCCAGAGGCAAGAAAACCCCATGTTCACTTCCATTAACAGAGCGCTTCGTGTGCTTTTTTTCTTCCAGCAGGTTTCCTACAGAGTGTTTGCTCTTGATGTAGCCTTGGCTTTGTTGGAGCTGCCAGAGAGGAGTCCAGGCAGCTCCTTGTCCCAGGATCAGCAGAGTTTGCTAAAGCACAAGTTTTTAGTGCAGGTCATGGTGTTTGGCCGGTGCTCAGACAAAGCCCCCGTGGTCCGCAGCAAAGCTCTCAGCAGCCTCGCCCATTGTCTCGAGATGAAAGCTGCTGCCACCTTGGAGAGCATTCAGGACTTACTACAGAGCTGTGAGTACTGTGGGCACATGAGGTAATGGAAATCATTCTTGAACTTTCAAGGGGATAATTGCTGGGAGGTAGGAGTTGGCAGGAACTTAAAAACTGGCACTAAGCAGAGTCCTTACGTGCTGTGCCATAATGAGCAGTAATTCATGAGCTGTTGGGAAGGATGAAAGTTTGACAAGNGGAACTGCCCTGGCTCTGCTCTGCAAGGCCCCAGGCAGAGCTGCAGTGAATTCCAAATCTCACTCACTCCCTTCTTGTTCCCAGTCTCCTTCCAAAGCCTGAACCAACAGTCCAGTGGAGGAACCATGGCTGGGGTGGGGAGAGCAATCAGCACCCCAGAGGGTGAGTAGGAACTGGTGTTCCCATTACAATACAGTAAATCTTCTGTGTTGAATATTCTGATTCTCACTAACCAGTCTAATACAAGATACAAATCCTACAGCATTTACATACAGCCCATAAGAATCATTACATTACCACACTTTGTTACATTTTAAACCCTAAAAACTCCTCTTTGGGCCCCTTCTGCCAAGCTGCAGGGTCTGCTCTGACCCTTGGGCCTGTCTGCAAGCAGAGGGTGTTGTTCCATCAAAAGGGGATCACCTTCAGCAGCCACACCATTGTTTTCCAGTTGTTCAGTAACTGAGGGATCTCAAAGCTTGCTTTCATTTCAATCTCACTTACAATTTCCATATTCTCAAAATCTTTTGCCAGGCAATCATATTTATAAGGCTCTCCTGTTTCATCTTCCCCAACAATGGCTGTGGATTATTTATTTATCTAAGGGCTTGTAGGAAAGAAGAGCCCTCCTGAAACCAAGGGATGAGAAAACTGAAACTGTGCATGGGAAAGCACGGTGCAGTGTCTCCATGTGCATCTCACAGGCTCAGTGCAGGAGGGAATTTATTTAGGGATGCTGAGTTAACAGTGCCCTTTGTTCCCTCCTTGTCTCTGGGGTGCTGAAGAGGAAGGTGGTTGTGCTTCCTCAGCCCAGAGGTGTGGCAGTGCCCCTCACACACTGCAAACCCCTGCCAGCCCTGAGCAGCCACTGGAAAATCTGATCCTGTCCTTCCTTCCCCGTGTGCTGGGCTGCACTTGTTGCCTCAATGTCTCTCTTTGCCTGAGCAATTAGCAAAAGAAAATAAAAGTGGGCTTTAGTGCAAGAAGTGTTTTTAGAGAGCAGGATTCTTTGAGTGCTGTGGTCTCCTGGAAGCTTGCACGGCTGTTGCTCTTAAAGCACCATATGGTGAAAAAGGAGGGAAAATGTTAATCTGCAGTGGTGCTGGAGCTGAATTCCTGCTTTGCTTGGAGGCAGCATGTGTCCTTCAGCAGGGAGACAAACTGTACAGAGCAGGAGCATCACTTCAGTCAGCGTGTGTTGAGCCATCTGTATGGCAGCACAGGCTGACAGACAACCAGAATAAAACATTTTATTCCTCTGCTGTATCATTCTGAGACTGCTGGAGACGCAGTTCTTTGTAAACAGGTTTGTACTTGAGAAGTTGGGAGCAGCTGTCCCCTCTTGCTGCCTCCTTCAGCTGTTCTGGCTGTGTTCTCTCCCTTCCCTTCTGGCTTTGGGGCTCCTCAGCTCCTGCGGGAACAGCTTCAGTGAGCTGGTGAGGGGAATTGTACATAAATTGTACATTATTGTGGAGATAACCACACTGCAAGGAAGCCCTACTTCCCCTTTTTTTC